ATTCGTTCGTTCGTTCGTCCATTCATTGATTTACTCCTCTCCAACTCAAAACAAAACTGAACTTCTTCTGGGTATATAGGATAAAGTGCAACAGCAAATCTTTAGTTACTTTATTGAATATAACCAAATTATTTTCCTATACAAAATGGTACTTTTATATAAAAACTAGTATTAAATTGACAAAATTAATGTTTTTATTTATGTCGAGTGTATACAATAAGATACAGGTAACTGTTTGAAATATACTGTTTACGTTTTGTCGCAAGACTATATTCCGAATTATGTAACCAAGCTATATTTAGTTCTTTTTCTAAGTTTCAATATGAAATATGTACAGAAAGAGATTTTTAAAAGTTCTTTCTTGTTAACTTTTCAATTACTTTTTCAATTTGTATTGATTAGTCAGCAATAACTGCTGACTACAATATGTTTGGTTACCATATATTGACTAAGAGGCACACATGTAGTTTGGGATGAATAGATGTGTTTGCGTGTGCATTTGAAGCGAAACGCAGAAGCGACAACGCCTGGTCTTCGTTAGCTAGTTTTATCATGAATCCATAATTATCACGTCGTCTTGTTGAGCTTTTCCACTTATAGACAGAGGTCAATACATTAATATTAATCCATTTTTCTTGGTCCCTCGACTGAATTGGGCCACTCTTTGCAACACTTTAAGAAATAATTTGAAATGATGAAAAGAGTACGAAAGAAAGAAAATAATTGAGGGAATTTCCTGCTGATAGACTACAAAGTGGGTACATTTGGTGATATGTAAAGACGACTAGGCATTTGAAATACAATTCACAAATTTTGTCAGGTCGCGGAGCCTCTTTCTCCAAATCAATGTTTAGTTTAGTTAGTTTAATGACTAATGTGTTCACCACTCTGAGGTGGACGGAAAGCATTCACAGGTTTTACAATCCAATTGACGAAGGTCTCTGATGGGTATGGTTGATACCCCAGGGAGGAAAACAAGAGTACCCGGAGAAAAGAACCCCTGACCATAGCCTAACCCTAACCCTAACCCTAACCCTAACCCAATTGACGAAGGTCTCTGATGGGTATGGTTGATACCCCAGGGAGGAAAACAAGAGTATTCGGAGAAAAGAACCCCTGACCATAGCCTAACCCTAACCCTAACCCTAACCCAATTGACGAAGGTCTCTGATGGGTATGGTTGATACTCCAGGGAGGAA